TTATTCTGAAAAAATAACATCCCTTACTACATGTAGGTGCAAAAAATGCAATTTAAAGATTGTAATTCATCAATTTACTTCAATGGAACCGTAATTATAGCTCAATTATAGCTTCTATTTTAAATTGACCTGGCGCCTCCACCAAAATTTTCAAAAATTTTTTAATAATAGTTGATAACATTTAGCTATTTTCATGACTGTCTTATTTTCGATATCAATATGATTGTTTACTAGGTTAATCCTTCACAACAACCATCAATAAAGGTCAAACTAGATCTCTCTTATTAACGAGAGTAAACGCTCAATACATTAATTTGCATACTTTCAAAATAATTGAATCAACAAATTTTTATTCTTTATTGTATGTACAATTAAATTCCACGCTAATTAATAAAAGGACTGAAGGGTTTCTTCGTGCAAAAAGGATCATATTATTGTCTTTCGTCTTTCAATATATTTGTAATTGTTGTTAGAAACCAATTCTCGTGTTAGGGATGGTGAATACTTATAATTAGGGTAATATTAATCGAGTTTTCAGCAATACACCACAAGTTATGGGCTTATAGTGTCATTTTGTGCTAATAAATAGTAATAACATAACGATTTTATAGTTACAAAATTTGCTGTATGTTGGGTTGCCTATAAACTGTATTATAAACTGCAGTTTTATATATTCTAAAAAAAGAACATCTCTTACTGCATCTACGTGCAATTAATACAATTGTAAGATGATAATTCATCAATGTACTTCAACGAAACCAGAATTGTAGCTCAATTATAGCCATTTTTTTAACTGTCCCGGCGCCTCCACCAAAATTTTCAATAAATTTTTGATAATTGTAGATAACGTTTACATATTTCCGTGAATGTCTTATTTTTGATATTAAAATGATGATTTATAAAGTTAACTCTTCAGCAAAATTCAAAGTAGAAAGGGGAGACTGTGGTAAATATTAATTAAAAATTAAAAGGAATACTCACCCCTAATTACCACAAAAAAAAACTTTGTTTGAGCGGACACGTGTTTCGCCCACTTCATACGTGGGCATTATCGGTCTAAATTAGTTTTTAAATGGTAATTCGCAGAAACATTGAACACA